TTTTTATGGCAGTGAAACTTTTTTTTTTTTTATTCTTCCAGCTGCTCTTTTGAATTGCCGACCCAGCAGCGGAGTGGCGCGGTGCCTGGGGGTCACCCAGCCTGGCACAGCCTAGATCAGATACTTTGGAAACCCTGCTGGGGATTATGAGGGAGGGGGGGGAGGCACAAGATGTTTGAACAAGAGATAACTTTTAGAAATGGAGGAGGGAGACAGAAGGAATGTGAGCAAATCCACCAAGGAACAACTTTGTGCACAAACAAGGCCGACCTCGGGTGACCCGGGGCCCGAGGTTTGAGCACACGGCATCCATAAAGGGTTATGTGTTGTCAGGTCCTGTGACAGGTGAGCTTACAATCTATTGTCCCCGCCACAGTCTCTCACAGTCCTGTCTGAATGGGAGCTGATTAACCCAGCAGCATCTGTCAAGAGGGATTGTCCCTTTAATTTCAGTCCTGGTGGCAGCGGTCATTGGAATTTATAGAGAGGGAATCAAATAATTAAGATAATCTGCTAAAAATAACCATTTATCTTCAGCCTGTTCAATTAAGCTTTGGAAAGGAAAGCTGGGAGCTGACTGATTGGCGTGCACAGCTGCTCCAGATTTTGTCTGCTCCAAAAATTCCCCTCATTGCCAGTAAATAGTTAAAGGAGAACTATGAGGGGGGTGCTTTTCACTCACCTCATAGTTCTAGCCAACCTGTGACAATGAGACTGTCACAGGTCGGCTCAGTAGATCGGGAGGTGAGCGAACATATACCGGCGTTCGCTCACCTCTCGATCCTGTCACGGCTCTCTGCCGTGACAGGGGAGGGGCTGGATTCCCCCCTCCCCGCTCCGATCTGCCAGCGCTGACTGGCGGAACGGACGGGGGCGGGTACAGCTGGCTCTGCCTCTAGATAGGCAGAGCCAGCTGTCACTCACGCAGCTGGGCGGATCTCGACATCGATGTCGGGATCCGCTCCTGCTGCGGCGTCTCAGTATACCGCGAGCTGTAGCTCGCGGTATACTGAGCTCAGGGTAACGGGAGGACGCTAGTTTGTGTCCTCCCGTTACCCTAAGGAGAACTATGGGGAAAAGCCCTAACCCCATAGTTCTCCTTTAAATCATAAATGAATATATATATGGGGCTACCACCCCCAGATGGCGCTGATGAGCACAGGAAATTCCTATACTAGTCAGTGCCATCTGGGGGCTATAGTGCCATGCGAATGGCATCTGCCCGGCTACATGTAAGCTGTGGGACAATTCGTTTCGGATATGTAGTTATTTCGGAAATTCGGGATTCGGATCAGAAATTCAATTCCATTCGGGTTTTGGACGTAATCTGAATTTCGGATGAGTTCACGAATATTTGTTGAGAGTAAAACAGAAAACCATCTACAGATATTAATACTAAAGCTGAATCTCCTAGACCCGAATGGCACCTGGGATCCGAATTCCAAATGCCATTCGGGTCTGGAAGCCATATACTGTACATATATTACTAAAGCTGAGGCTCCCGAATGCAATTTGGAAATTAGGATCCCAGATGCCATTCGGGTCTGGGAGATTCAGCTTTAGTATTAATATCTGTAGATGGTTTTCTGTTTTACTCTCAACAAATATTCGCAAACTCATCCGAAACTAACGAAAATTCGGATTTCATCCGAATCTGAATTGAATTTTCAATCCGAATTCCGAAACAACGAAATATCTAAACCGAACCAAATAGGGTCTGGAAACCATATACATATATTACTAAAGCTGAGGCTCCCGGACCCGAATGGCATTCAAGATCCAAATATTGGAAATTGCATTGTGGGAGTTCCAGAATGCCATTCGGGTCTGGGATCCTCAGCTTTAGTAATATATGTACATGGCTCCCAGACCCGAATGGCATTCTGGAACTCCCCCAATGCAATTTCCAATATTTGGATCCCGAATGCCATTCGGGTCTGGGAGCCATGTGCAGTGGTATCTCGGTTCACAAACTTAATTCGTTCCACAATTCTGGTCGCAAACCGAATTGGTCGCGAACCGAATCAAATTGTGATCAGACCGCGATCTCTACTAGCGGGAAGCCACGACCACCTGTCAGAGCGGGGAAGATGGCTGCGGTTGTGTTCGTCACCTGATGCGGAGTTCGTGAACGGAAGCAAAATTTAGCTGAACTTCCTGTTCGCGAACCAAATTGTTCGCGACCAGAAGCGTTCGTGAACCGAGGTACCACTGTACATACAGGGCCGGTGCTAGGATTCTTGCCTATACAGGCAAGGTGCATTTTTGCGACTGCCTGAGGTGCCGCGCGTGTCGGGATATATATTACTAAAGCTGAATCTCCTAGAAGCGAATGTCACTCGGGATCCGAATTTCCGATTTGCATTTGGGAGCTCCTGAATGCCATTCGGGTCTGGGAGCCATTTACATGTATTACTAAACAACTTTTTGAAATGACACGGACGCGTTACAGCCTTTAAATACGATGCGATGTGTGGGCGGCTGGTGAGGTCCGCTATTAGAAAGGCGGATAAGGCCACGATGGGCGCTCTGCCAGCTGGGTGGTATGCGATGGGCGGGGTGCGATGGGGGTTTAGCTGAGCCCAGCCACCCCTTGGCTCTGGAGGTCAGGTTGTGCCAGCTTCCCCCAGGGCCTCATGCTCAGTGAGTGTGACAACACTGGGCTCAGCTGACCGAATTATCACTAACACAACATCGGTTGCCATTTTCTGTCTCGTAGGGCAAAACAAAAACTACTAATACCGCTGATATTGAGCGCCGGGACATGAAGCTGATCGTGACGCACGGCCGCAATCTACAGTGAGCGCTATTCTATCAAACACTTTACTGCCTATAAGACAAATTAAAGCAATTCAAATCAAATAATCAAATCTGAACCCAATCAATCAAATCTCATGTTATTGTAATTTCAATCCCCCTAAATATGGATCTTTCATTAAAATAATCCCCGGTGATCCTGCCTTGAAGGTCTGTGACCAGACACTTCCTGCTGAGGGGTGACAGCACTCTGCCTTTGTCTTCCGCTTGCGTTGTCACCTAGTCACAGGCGTCCACTGGTGGAAATTACAAGCATCTGTACCAATGCACATTGGGCAGGCATGGTCCACCGCTGTCACATTTGGAAAGATGGTCCAGAGCAATGATGTGCCAACGTTGGAGCACGTTGCGCATGTAGACAGGAAGTGGCTTAAAGAAGGCGGAGGGGATCAGCAGATGAAAAAAAAAAAGATGGAAAGATGTGAAAATGGGATTTCTCTTTCTACCATCGAGAGAAACGGATGTTGAATAAAAATTAGGATTCAGAACCCGGACCAAACCTGAGCTCCTTCCATGGCGCCCAATCAGCTGCGGGCACGGAATTCCCAGGCCAACATGCAGCCATGCGGTGAGGTCATTGACCTTATATGGCTACATATAAGGCGGGGAATTCCCTAGTTATGCAGTGATGTCATTGACCTTATATGGTTACATGCCTATAATTGGTAAATATTGACCTTATATGGCTATCTAGCCATATAAGGTAAGTGATGTCAGCATCCCGCCCCTTTGTTTACATGCAGCTGCAGAGCAGAGAGTGCCCCAGCCTGCAGCTGATTGGGTGGAAGAGCCCATGGCACTTTCTTGTTCAGGGGAGCTCAGGTTAAGGATGGGTTTAGTTCAAACCTGGGCTCATCCTTACTAAAGATTAGCCATATACAGGAGGGAGCTGGAGGCGGCAGCATAACCCGCTTGTATATGGTTGATCTTCAATGAGCGTCTCTATCTCTCAATGAACAAAACTTAAAGGAGAACTATGAGGTGAGTGCTTTTCACTCACCTCATAGTTCTAGCCGACCTGTGACAATGAGACTGTCACAGGTCGGATCAGTAGATCGGGAGGTGAGCCAACACATAACGGCGTTCGCTCACTTCTCGATCCTGTCACGGCTCTCTGCCGTGACGGGGGAGGGACTGAATTCCCCTCTCCCCGCTCCGATCCTCCAGCGCTGACTGGTGGAACGGACGGGGGAGGGGGCGGGTACAGCTGGCTCTGCCTCTAGATAGGCAGAGCCAGCTGTCAGTCACGCAGCTGGGCGGATCCCGGCACAATTGTCGGGATCCGCTTCAGCTGCGGCGTCTCAGTATACCGCTAGCAGCAGCTCGCTGTATACTGTGGCGTCTTAGTATACCGCGAGCTACAGCTCACGGTATACTGAGCCTAGTTATCCTTAGGGTAACGGGAGGACACAAACTAGCGTCCTCCCGTTACCCTAAGGATAACTATGGGGAAAAGCCTTAACCCCATAGTTCTCCTTTAAAATGAATTTTTACGGTAAGTAAAAAATTTCTGCTGAAGGTTTTAATAAACGGCAATGCCTAAAATGCTCACAGAAACCAAAACCCTCAACTCACCACGGAGTCCACACCAGCCGTGTTCCCGGCCTGCTCGCACTCCTCGGCATGTCCGTTGCAGAAGCAACTCCCGCGGACGATTAGGTCGTAGATGGCGTAGTGGGCGAACCTCTGCGGCTTCTCCGGGGACCCAGGCGCGCTCTGGCAGGGGCATTCCTGTCTCTTTAAGAGGAGGAGCCGGAGGTTGGTGATTTTTAGCTGGTCCTGGGCCTGGAGGCTGTAGGGGTCTTCAATCCTGTTTGCTGGAGTTATTGCACGAAATATCACCTGCAGGAGAAAGGGTGAAGTACAGAAATCACTCAGATATTTATAATTAGCTACGGCCTCTTCCCAAGAGCCAGCCCACTGCTAGTGACACCGTGTCTGGTGTCACCAGCATCACCTCCAGGGTCTTCCATATAATGAGGTAGCCTTAGATGGTTGCCTTAGGCCGCATCTCATTGGGTCACGTGTTGGGATCTCATTGAGTCACGTGTTGGGAACTCATTGGGCCACGTGTTGGGATCTCATTGAGTCACGTGTTGGGAACTCATTGGGCCACGTGTTGGGATCTCATTGGGCCACGTGTTGGGATCTCATTGGGTCACGTGTTGGGATCTCATTGGGTCACGTGTTGGGATCTCATTGGGCCACGTGCTGGGAACTCATTGGGCCATGTGTTGAGATCTCATTGGGTCACGTGTTGGGATCTCACTGGGTCACGTGTTGGGATTTTATTGAGTCATGTGTTGGGATCTTATTGGGTCACGTGTTGGGATCTCATTGGGTCACGTGCTGGGATCTCATTGGGTCATGTGTTGGGATCTTATTGGGTCACGTGTTGGGATATCATTGGGTCACATGTTGGGATCTCATTGGGTCACCTGTGATACTATCCGCCATGGCCGGCAGCTCCTGACAACCAGTGAAGCCAGTGAGCTTGGTGGTACGCCGTGCACCACAAGCCCCCCCAGAAGGTCCACCATGAGCCGCTTCAAGCTACTCCTACCCTTTCCTACCCATAACATGCACCTAGTAAACAACCCCCATCCCAGAACGTCCATCGCATGCAGACACCACCACCACCCAGCTTCGGGGAGTGAGACGTCTAGTATCTAGGATCAGCTCGGAGAGGGGGAAGCAGCACAAGGAGTCAGTTGTACTGCAGTGCTTACAAGGAGTATGCTGATAGGAGGAGAGCGCAGAGTGACAGAGACATGAGCTCATCAGTATGCTGCTTCTCCTTTCAATGCCCAGTCACAGGCTGGGGGAGGGTCAAGACCTCTAAGTGTTACTTAACTGCAGGAGAAACAAATCAGGCCTCCTGTCCTGCCAGAAATGGCTGCTCTGCGTGGCAGAGCTGTGAAAATCTCAGGGTTGGATGGGCAGAAATTCAAATCATTTGGCAGATAAAACACCTCCCAGATTTGCATGAGTTTTGTGGAAGACCTCTTACCTCCCCTCTCGTACAGGGCCAGGGGTCAGAGTACCTGGAGGTACACCGCGCCCCTTCCTCAAGCACGTCATCCGCCAAACCGAAGGTGGCTGTACAGTTAGCCGCAAAGTATTTATAAGCCCTCCAGGTCTTGCCGTGGTCGCCGGACCTCTCCAGCACCATGGCCGCCGGGCGCGGAGACCTGAAGACCATAATGACGTGGGTCAGGTAGAACTCCGTCTCGAAGTCCAGCCTGATCTCCTCCCGGAGGACGCCCTGGGCGGACTGCCACCACGTGGCGGGACTGGAGAAGACGTCATCCGTCATGTGAGCCGGCAGGTGGGAGTTCTCGGGCTGGTTGACGCTGCACTTTGTGCACTGGGGTGGCCCGCAGGAGGGCGGAGCCTTGAGGAAGAAGTGGTCCTCGGGGTGAAAGCAGTACAGTTCGCTGGCGTCCGTCCCGCAAGTGGTGAGGGTGACCGGCGTCCGGCCAGTGGCGAGGTTCCCAACCGGCGGGTTGCAAGAGTGACCATCACAACGGTGTGGCTTGGCTGCTTCTGTAGTGAATGGAAACATATAAAATAATAATATTAATAAAAATAAATATTAATAAAATGAATAATAATAATAATAAATGACATCCATCATCATCTAACACTTTCCCCCCCAGTATGACTGTACTTGTCCCCGCCCTTTTCATTCACTGCTATCCAGTTCTTTCCATCATGGAGGCTCAGCATCACATGTGGGTGTTACCAAGGGTGATCTGCATGTATATGCATCCTGTCTAGGAGCGCCCACTCCTCCAGACTGACACCCACCCATCATTTTGATATTTGCATAACTCCTCCCAAAAACCAGCACACTGCTTGCATCAGGGCCGAGGGCTCTTTAGACAAGTACTGAGGCAGGGTGCTGTGATGTTTTCAGGAAGCTACATACAGCACCCTGCTGGCTCCTCCCACCAGCTATAGTCTGCCTGCATTGAGAAGCATAGAGACCCAGTGATACATAAGGTATGTAACGAAAATGGAAATGTCTTATTTTAAAGTTGAATTAGCATATAGATGATAGGAAAAGGAAGGTGAGAAGCACAGAGACCCAGTGATAGAGTGACACTGAAAACAGAAATATTTTACTTACAAATGTCACTAGCATGTTGATGGGGAAGGAACCAGGAACACAAAATATCAGCAGATTAAACTTAAAGATACAATGTAACAAGCAGTCAAGGACTGGAATTGCTTGGATGTTTTCTGTCCATTTACAAAGGCTGGAATAGGAGAGAATAACATCCCTGACCTCAAGAGCTTACAATCTATTCCACGTGTGGAAAAAAAAATACACTGTCACAATCTGGCGGTGGAGTCATGATGGGTCACAGTGCCAGCGGGCGCCGTAAGCCGGGCACACAGACAGGAGCGGGCAGACAGATACTGCCACAGAACTTCAATAATTCATAAAATGCTGATGAGCGGCATAGCTGTCTTATCTCTTTTGGAGCTGCTGTTGCATACACTGATTCACCGACGGCCGCAATCATCCGGCATCCGGTCTAATAACCCCCCTGGGATAAGCCAGGGCAAAGGGCCGGCTCCATTAACTACTTCACGGCCCGAGCGACTGAAGCAAGCAGACCCGTCATAGGGCATAATGGTGACATGATGTGTCAGCGGATGATGGCTC